ATTTATATATAAGACTTAATATAATGACAAAAACGATTTAATTTACAATGCTCATTCGTCTCTTTCTGTGAAATTGTATTTACCATATGACAAAAAGAGACAGGAGAGCGCTCAGCTGGGTGGTTGAACTAAGTAGAAATGTAGGTATGTCCTAATCTACTAACTAGAACAACATTACGGCGCGGACGCGTTTGTTTTGTACCAAAATCTTACAGAAAAAGCTTGACTCAACAGCTCGAATAAACTATTTTAATTATAATTCCTTCTTTGAATTAATAATGTGCGTAATTGATCGTATAAAGTCTGCTTCATTTGTTCTGGTCGGTAATTTATTTAGAAAGATTCGATTTAATTTAAAATTTTAGTAATTACTACAATACTATGACAGATATATAATCATATTGTCTTATTGATCATACTGTGAATTTAATATAAATAAGTATATATCTTTTTCAATGTAGGTAATTTGTGATATAAAAATTAATGATCGTGTTGGTATGAAAAAAGCCTTTTTAATAAAGTATTATTCATAAGTGCTACAATACATTATAAGCCTTTTCGAATTAATGTACGTCTATAATGCGTGACAATAATAATTAAATAAACTAAGCAAATAATACTTCAATATATTCCACAAAGCTCACAAAAATTTTCTTATTGAATTCGAAAACTAAACATTATTAAATTCGTGTGGCGACCATCTAAATGCCTTCAGATCCACCTATTCCCTTCTTAATTAAGTCCATACTTGGGGCAGGCAACAATGGCCACTCTCCGATGTTAACCAAGATATTCAAATATGTCTAAGGCCGCTATTATACCGCCATATAAAGCGATACAACTCCTGAATTCAATTTGAATATACACTAAATCGTTAATTGGATTCTGTTGACTTCTTTTATCCTTTGTTTAACTGCAATTATTAAATTTTAATATTTTTAAATATTATTGATAGAAAGATAGGGTCTTGTCGTACGCTTCCTGTTGAGTAGGATAGGGGAGCGGGGGAGACGTTGTTACAATTATTAGACAATTGTCAATATGACAAAAGGTATTATATAATATAACATTTGATTGCTTTTATCGTTAGTATGTCTATTCAGCTATTAAAATATGATGGAAAACTTATTAAAATTTATGTAATTTTTTGACAATGGACAATTTCACCAAGACAGTCGATTGTAACATCTTACCCCTGATTTGGTGCTAGTTGTTACATCTTTGGGGCACAGTGTTACGGTAGACAAATAAACAAATTCATCAATGATCAATATTTTTTTTTTTAAAACGTTATAAACAAAAGAGATCCTATTCTTTTCAAAAACACTTTTTATTTACTCTTAAGAGTACCAATTCTTAAAAGGCCGGCAACGCACTTGCGAGCCTCCTGGTAATGTGAGTGTCCAGGGGCGGTATCACTTAACATCAGATGAGCCTCCTGCCCGTTTGCCTCCTATTACATTAAAAAAAAAATTAACGTTGGATGGCTAATAGTAACTTGACATTTACTGTTAAACATATTATATGTTTAATAAAACACTATTTTGACCGGATTGAAGTTATGTATTATTATAAATTTACAACTATTTAACATAATTTTAAATTTATCCGGGTCTTCAGTCACCGTGACCACGCACGCTGTAAAGCACGCGAAACGTCGGATAAATTTAAAATTATGTTAAATAGTTGTAAATTTATAATAATACATAACTTCAATCCGGTCAAAATAGTGTTTTATTAAATGAATAAAAGTTATGTTAATCAAAGACAATACTATATTATATGTTATATAATAACTGTATCTGTACGAATTTATTAGTAAATTAATCTTGCAACTTAGTTTTGAATGAAGTTCTAGTATTACATAATACACTCAACTTTGGTCCCAGATGAAACAAAACATCGATCCTAACCACAGCGCCTGTCTGGCGCAACATACAACATCTCAACTGTGCTACTTTTAACTCATATATCCACTTTATCACGAAGCTGTCATATCTTTATTTTGTTTCACGAATATATTACGACCCGATGAAACATTAATGCAGCCCAGAATTTATCTTACAACTTTTTAAATGTTGGAAAACTTTTCTTGCCTTGCAGTAAAACCTGTTTATTTACATTGAAACGAGTCGTTTTATATCTTCATTGTAATTCTAAACACTTTTTCCTTAATAAAAGTAAAATGTCATCCATATATGGCAAATCTAAATTAAAAGCGCTGAGTTACAGCTGCGAACAAAAATAACGCACTATTTAAATCGAGATTCGAAATAGGTTTTGAAATGGAATAGAATAAATAAACGCTCCCGGTTCACCAGGTGACAATCTGATCGGCCAAAGAAATAGTCCAGGTTTACATATGGCTGAACTAAAGTACGATACTCTCAAGAGTGGCCGCATAAATTGGCCCGTTCGTGATGCAGTACCTCGTTGAATATGTATAGGTGCGCTCCCTTCCGTGCTTCTCATTTTACTAATAGATTTCTCTTTGATTAAATTTGTATATCGTTTTATTCATACAAGCAACTATTGTTGTGTAGTGGCCGCTTAAATCAGCGGTTACGGCTCCCGCTACGTTTCGTGTCGTAGGTACCTACGTTTTGGCTGTTTGTTTTGGTACGCGAAAACCCAATTTATAGTGCGGTGCAGTCAATTAGACCAATGCTGATCATAGCTATTAAAACATATTTAGAGTTATACACTACTATTTATAACCTTTTGCCTCTACACGTTTGCAATAGACTACTAAAGCGATTCACATTCGAATTCTTTTTCTATTTAATTACAGATGTTCTTGCTGTCTTCAAGTAGGTACTTAACTAACTCATTACTTTGACTAGATATTACGCTTATAGTATAGCTATTTTACGGTACGTTTGTTTCTTACTTTTTGTTGCCGTTTGTTTTGGTATTTAACCCTGAATCTAGCTATTCCTAAAATCACATTTCTGTAATGTCTTTATTAAGATCGTGTATAGAATGAGCTCACGCCCGCTTATTATTATAATTTAACGAGTGCCTAAAGCTTTGCCGACTGAATGAAGTCATCATTATCAGAATAACCTGTTTTATTTGAAGAATATTTTATTAGGAAATATACACGCGTTTTTTGTGTTAGACTGAAATTCTTCTTGAACATAAAGCATTGAAATGTTATATAATTTAGTCGAAAAAAAACACAATTTGTTTTTACAAAATGATAGACAATGAGCTGAATCTTTATACGATATGGAGGGAAAGGAAATCGTATAAATTAAACAAATTTAACATCGTTATTTTCATGTTGTATTTTGAAATCATAGCGGTATTTGATATGCAAGAATGCGGCAGATTTCGTGACGCCGAGTCATGGCACTGTGTTTATAATTTTCATACTTTTTGTTAGTCGGCTCTAGCACGTCACCCCACTCATGTGTGGTCTAATAAATGAATAACTAAGTCGTTATGGAGTTCATTTAATAACAATTTATTCTTATCGTCCAATCTCACACCCACAAAACTCCTTCAAAAATTATAAGAAATTTTCACCAGAAATAATTGAATTAATTTGATTTAATTAACAGATATATGTTACGCCACTTCCGCTAAAAACCACTAATCTTACAAATGAAAATTTATGGCTACCTTACCTCATTAGAGACATTTAAAACTTTGTGGGTAATAACGGCGGAAAGTCTCCGTCTCATTGTTCATTCAGAGTTCGTACTCGGTTCGACTTGAAATTTGTAGGCAACTCTGAAAAAGTGTCAATTCATCATAGCAAAGCCCCGGGCTTGCGACCAAAGTCCCCATATAAATCTTACTTCCATACTTTCGCGTAGGGCGCCACTGCTTTATGGGATCCTTAAGGCCGTATGGATTTGGGAAAATATTTCCTCTGCGTGCGAGCCTTCGACAAATGAAGGAGTTCGGCACATCAGAATGTGTGAAAGGTTCTAGACGGTTTTATTGTTATGCCGAGCAATTTATTTAAAAGCTAGTGCGAATAAGGTTAGTTGGTGCGTACGAAATACCTATTTACTAATATTTATGGCCCTACCCGGGTTTATGGGTAGAGAAAATTATATCCATCTTTCTTTAATGCGGCTCTCATGTTCAATTGCTCAAGAAGCAATTTTGTTTTTACGTGGCTACTACATATTGCTCTATAATTGAAAGACGCTATATGATTATATATGAAGAATGTATTTATAGCAGATATTTTAAAAATATTTTCGAGAGACGCACCTCACTAATGTCATTGGGTCAGAGTGATATACGACATAGCGGCTGCGACGTTTGTTTGAAACTTAGTAATCTTGATTTATCGGCTGTACTGAACTATACTTTATATTATATACATAGATAAAAATATATAAGATAATTATATAAACGGTGCTTAGGTTCAACGTTTCTAATTAAACTTGACTTAACCATTTCGTTCTAATAATTAATTTTGAATCTTTATTTTTTTCATACTTCTTGTGTTAATACAATTCTTCGTCGGAAACTTTAAAGGTGCGTAATGGTTTATACATATGTAAATTATATTTAATGAACATTTATGTTATACTATCGTAAAGTTTCTACATAAAATGGTCATGGGTAATAGAATCCTTTCGGTAATTATAAAACATTCGTATTAAATGGGGCGTAAATATATAAGTGATAGTATGCGTGAGGGCAAAAGCCTCGCGCCTCATTAGAACGAGACCTTTCTATTGGTCTCATGCGCCTGCGCACCCGTTTATACAAGACTCGGCGACATTTCCATTCCTAGCGCAGAAAATAAACATTTTAGGCGAACGACCGTTGAGAATCGAGATTATTCCCGATAGAGTTTATTGTGTGATAATAAGCCGCCATACGTTTACACTGCGATGTATATATGCGTGATCTAAAAGCGAAATATTTACTCAGTAGTACAGGAACATGCACAATCGTTTACCATACAAGGCGGTGCACCAGTTACAAATAAATTGGAGACCTCGTGGGCGAAGTGATTTGAATTGCATTAATTATGAGCCGCCGAGCGCTCGCTCACGATGTCTCGCTTGCAGGAAATGCAAACGAAGAAAAATGAAGGATATTTTCACTGCTATTATGTGGAATACACGCCTTATCTTGATACAGAGTTCAATAAACCATGGACGATGCTGCAGCGCGAGTGAATCGCGGACGGAGAATTTATGTGGCACAATAACGTATACAGGTGTCGCCAAGCTCGGCACCCCTTCAATAAGCCGCCGATGGGAACTAAATAGGGGATCTTTTAATACAAACTATACCACTAATAGTGAGAAAGATAGTAGCTCTCATTATTCGTATTTACGCTTACCTACAAACTGACTACAAAATTAAAGTGCTTATAAAAGTACCTTAAGAACTCTAAAGAGTATTGAAAGAAACGTTGTAATAACGTTTACTTACAATATACTGTATTGTAAGTAAATGACGTGAAAAGCAAATTCATCTGGGAGCAAAACGGAATCCCGTCATAAATCGATGTTGATTGCAGCGCGTACGGAATATGAATTATTCCGGTGATTGTTCTCGGGAACACGTCATGATTCATATAACGCGCGAACTAGTTTTTGATCAAACCTGTATTATCTTTTTTATTACTATGCTGTGTACCCTTCCGCAATCACACCATTCATTTTGGACAAAATAGTTTGTTTATACTTGTAAACCAGATATATTTGGAAAAAGGATCCCGTGAAAGGATTCCAATCAATGGTACAGAAGGAAATTATCGAGTCTGAACAGTATATTGAACATTTGTAAAGATTGGAAATAAACAGGCTTTATTATCAAATTATTATTATACTTGGAGACTATGTATCAGTTATATAGATTAAAAGACTTCGACGAATATTTAAAAAATATTGCAACGGACACTGCTTTCTTTTCGGGCTACTTCGGGGAAATTCTTAATTGGTCACCTTTTGTGACGTCCAATATCGCCGCTGAGATAATAACACCACCAATTATTAGCAGATCGTTGCTTTTAATTAGCTGTTGGGAAAGTTCTTAACATATTGCTGCTGAATTTTGATCGAGTCCCTGATTTGGTTGTCGAAGGGACCGTGATTCACGATCGCTTCCGTGAGACCAATTAAACTGAAACGGGACTCATAATTGCTTCAGCTTTCAACAAATAGCTTTTTCACTAAGCCTTTTTACTATGAAGGACGTCAAATAAAGATATAAAAATATTTATCTAATGTGCTTAATGGTCATTAAACTTTCTTCGGCGTGGATTTTATACTGAATTAATTTTCTCAAATAAGGCAACGTCAAGGCCCGCTCAGCATCAAGAAGAAATAAAGTTTCTTATTGGTTCGCAATTAAAGCATCTCGAAGGTGACCCTCTACTCCTAAAGCCGAATAAAAAGTGAGCATTCATCGAATACTAACTAAAGGGGCTTCACTGAATTTCTCCATCGAAAAACCGCCCGAGCGATACTTATCAAGTGTTTGAAATGACACAACTGGATTCCATCCCTTTCGACATGTCCTTTTTCTTTGCGGGAAATAAAACTGACGAATTTCTCAATAAAAGGGAGATGACCGACGAGTTATCACGTACTGGATCCGGAGTGGGTATTTGGAGCGGTGCAGCAAAAAGTATTCAGGGGCCATTATTATGGCATTTTTGTCGTCTGACGGGGCTGCGTGGTCGCGGCCATTACGGCACGGCGGCGGAGGGTTGAGACGGGGGGCGGCATTCATATCCCCCTCCCCGCGGAGTCGAGCCGCGAACACCCGCCATCCATCTTCGATATGCACATAAAGCGAACCGGACTGGTAACGGCGGGCCCACATTCCCATTGCTCTTAAATTTATTTATCTCTTTATTAATTCTCAACTTGAATTTTAATGCTTGTGAAATTCGCCTTTAAATGTATCGACTTAGACTGGACGTGTTTATTGGCGTGCGAGATAAGGACTTCATTAGATTTGGTTTATGTTAAATATTGTATCTACACTTTTGTATATTGCAAGGTGTATAGCGCAGCGTTATTTAAAATAGGTAACAACATATAAGTTGAACAGCTGCATTTTTAGTAGAGTAAAAAGTAATTATTATACTTTATTCAGCACCTTACATTTATTAAAAGTCAGGCCTTATTTGTGATGTTTGTTTTGCCGGGATCCTTTTTATTTATATTGGCAGCAATTCATAAAAAATTAATTGGCGCATTTAAGTTTCATATTAAATTGGTTACTATGTAAACGTACATAAATAAATTTCAAAGTGGATTTTTTACTTGTTTGTGCAGCCTTTAAAGGAATAAACATCTTACTATATTAATTCTACTAAATTTAGGCATTAAGGAAATACATTTATATTGATACGTATACCTTTCTTATGTCATTACCAAAAATACATAAAACCATTATATATTAATAACTTCTTTCAGTATGTTTAAGACATATATAATATGTAAATTATGTCTCTCTTTAAATTGGTACTAAACACGTTTATTAATTTAATAACGTTACATTTATATATTGCAAACCAATAACAAATTAACCCATATTTTTATTCGTATGGGACTGGAATGTTTATAAAAACTTAAAAAAATTGCAATTGTAAAATTTTGAATAAGTTTAATTACAGTATTTAGTTTCTTAACCTTCATATATTTTAATTATTTAAATAAAAATTCTTAACCTTCATAGTAATAATAATAAATGCCTGTGGCACAGAAACTAAACTTTTAAAATTAGTTTTAATTTTATATTTATTCAGTTTTATTATTATTATTACTATGAAGGTTAAGAATTTTTATAAAGGAAAAACAATTAAAGATTAACTTAGAATTTCTGTACCAATTCGACAATTCAAGAAAAGAGCGTACTAATTCTTAAAAGGCCGGCAACGCACTTGCGAACCTTCTGGCAATGTAAGTGTCCTTGGCGGCGGTATCACCTAACATCAGATAAGCCTCCTGCCCGATTGCCTCCTATTAATTAAAAAAAATGTATTTTACCAAAAAAAAAAGTTAGTTACAGGGATATCTAGTAATAATAAACGCATTGCTACGATTATTAATAAATATTTACATTTCTTAAAGATTTAAATATTGATTAAGTGGTATTTAATATTAGGTACCTACTTCAGATTGTCAAAGGAAATAAAGCAAAAATATACAAGCAAACGTCACAAGCACGAGGTTCGGAGTCATGCATGCACGATCTAATAGCCACCTTCGAACTTTACCCTTCCACCTCAGAACAGAGCTAAGCCCGAATCAGTTCACAATCGATGACTGGTCTACGAAATATTGACTGTTGTTTATACCAATTCTGTTTAGGAAATTAATACTTTCTATTCAAACATTTAAAATTCGTATACGGAAGTACGGTTCTCTATGGCTACGGCTATTAATTGTTTCTTATTTAATTGTTTGTGTGCTTTTGACTTAAGGGGTGATTTATAATATTTTTTAAAAACCTAATATCACAGTATCAGCCCTATTGTCCTAGCTGGCTTTAGCGTGCGACTCTCATCCCCGAGGTCGTAGATTCGATCCCTGGCTGTGCACCAATGGACTATCTCGAACAGTGAAAGAAAACATCGTGAGGATACCGGCTTGCCTTAAGCCCGAGCTGAGCTGTAAAAGCCCCTTAAGGCCAACAGCGACATTTTATTAACAAAAAGAAGCTTGCCTTAGAACCAAAAAGTTGACGGCGTGTGTGAGGCACAGAAGAGTGATCACCTACTTGCCTATTAGAGTGACAAATAAAACAGATACAGAAATTTGAGGTCCAGTCCTAAAACGGTTGTGGTGCCTCTGATTTATTTATTTTTTTAACATCACAGTATTCAAATTGTTTTAACTATACCTTCCACACTAGAATGGTTTATTTATTGTACTAGCGCTTTCGGCTATTACACGATTTAAGTATTTTAATACAAATTGTTTACTAATACATTATTATTAAAGTTACAGATCTGCCCTACATTGAGAATTATAATATCGGTATGCAAGAACATATCAGCAAACCTCTATATAAATAGTGATCGTGTCAGCCAGTGAGATTACACTATCTAACATATCACCACATATATCTAGTTAGTTGTAACTTGCAATTGCCTTTGTGTTAATTGATCGCACCTTCCCGTTACTATCGATAATTGACAATAAATTGTCACGCACATTAATCTCAACATCAAATTACCTATCTAACTGCGTATTGGGATCAATATGTATATTACATCGTATAAATTACATGATTTATACTTTTTAATCTTGAATTTCGGCCAGTAAGTTCTACGTCAAAGAAGTTTCTATCTCTTATCGTTTTTAGATGTTTTGTTTCTTTTATTTTTTAAATTTAGAATAAAAAACGTTGTATAGGTCTTTCATTGTAGACATTTATCTCCAAAATATCTACCTAAACCTAAGAACGTGAGGCACGCGCTAATTAACGTTGAACGTGAAACTTTGTGCCCCACCAATCAAACTTGGCCCGCAGTACTTCATATAAATTGACCCTGCTCTCCTTGTATAAGGGCGGGTGGGGTGTCTGATTAAACTGGTTGCCCCTTAATTGCGTGTCTAACGCTCCCTACACGTAACATGGCCTTTTATTAGGTGGAAATTCTGTATACGGCACTACATCCAGCCTTCGTGAGAGTTATGACGAGCGCTTCGCAATATTTATGGCTATTCTCAATTTGTATGCTTTTTGTTTTTGTAACAACAAATGTTAATCATACTAAAATGAATACATTTCATTACAATATCATATTTTTTTAGGCGTATTATAAATATATTTTATTTTTGTCTTATTGATAAAATTGTACGCCTTTGTAACTGGCAGGATATCTGAGCAAACTCATATCAACCTTTCAGGTCAGTCTCTTCTATCACTCAACCTTTTTAGGTCTGTGCCTCAGATATCCGTATCTGTTTAATGATAAGCCTCCCATGCCTGACACACGCCATCGACTTTTTGGGTCTAAGGCAAGCCGGCTTCCTCACGATGTTTTTTTCACAGTTCGAGCGAATGTTAACGCGCACATAGAAAGAAAGTCCATTGGGTGCACAGCAGGGGATCGAACCTACGACCTCAGGGATGAGAGTCACACGGTGAAGTCACTAGGCTAATATTGCTCTACTGTTTTATTGTTGTACCCCATACACATTCTAGCAGATAAAAAATAATTATTATTTAAAGCCGCAATAAAAGCGTACAGCACAATCGTATAATCTAAAACTTATCGATTTTATGCTTCCGATCTAAAACAAAGGCCATTCGATGAAAGCGCATTGCGTATTTTTATTCGAGTCCGATTCGATGATTTATGCACCGCGCATCTAGCTCAATGAGGCTTGATATAGTTGATGCATTATTGTCATGTTACTCGACAATCATAAATGTCTACATTACACGCTGACTATTGTTTATGGTCACTGTTAGCGCCTTCACATTATGAATTTAAAACGAGCTTAACAATATTGATCGATTTGTTTATTCCTCTTAATTATTTTCATTTGTTTGAACACTTTTTATAAGGTAACTGGCACTAGTTAATTGCACGAGTTCGCTATTGCTTTTTTTTGTCCCAAGGCAATAGACTTAACGGTAACTCCTTTAAAGAGTTTTATCCTGAACAATGGTTCAACAATATAGAATTTTAGAAAGCTGACCATTCGTTGTGCAACTTTCTCCCTTTATCTTGTGCACAAAGGTAAGGAGTTTATAGTTTTTTACTGTTCTTTCTAACAGTACAATGGCCATAAAATTTTTGTAAACATTGAGTTTTTGTTTCTAATACAAAAACTAATGTAAAAAAATCAAATATCTTTCATAACAATGTTCTTATGTCAAAATTTAAACTTCGAATGTCTTAAAAGATTACACTTCTGTACTCCGTAGATAAAATGCAATTGCAAATTCTTTACAATTAATGTTCTTTTTTATAACATGTCAATGCAAAAATTACTAATCCTGCAAATATTCGAAATTTGAATATTTTTCTTCTTCAAAGATAAATTACGATTTCAAATGTGTTCAATTGTTCAGCATTGATTAGTTACAATATATAAACAGATACGCATCTAGGCAGATAGTTAGGTATTAAATTGTGCTGTAACGACATTTACGAGCATATTGGCGCCATGCAGGGTGCAACATGCTAAGGCTATCACTTACCCCGTCCGTGGCTAATTCACTGTGACAAATTAACAACACTGAATGCATACTCTATGGTTGAGTATATATGTATTTACGCATCTGCATCTTTGACATATTAAATTAAAGCAAAATCTACCTCTCATTTGAATAATATTTAAATTTTAGTATATACCTATGTATTTTAAATTTACTATTGTTTAATATATCAAATGGTGCAACAAGCATTCGTCAGCCTTGGCCTTACATTGCGTGACATACATAGTTGATTTTTATGTACCTACTCACTGAACGATTAAGTTGCACATACATATAAAGAAAAGTCCTTTGGGGGTTAGAACGTACAAGATCAAGAATGCAATGTTTAATGTTTTACGTACATAAATATTTTGTAAGAAAGTACTGGATAAGGCTTCTATTTCGAGTTATAACACGTAAAAGGTAATAGGATGCAATGGTATTGTTTTTCTCAATCGCATATATCTAGTCGCCATACCATACTTGTCTAGCTAAGAATAGATTATAGAGCACAATCAGAAATAGAATGCCACAATGCTCTGTTGGGTGACCATATATTTCCATTAAATAGTTATGTTTATATTAATACTAATATTTACTAACTACTAGTATTTTAACTACTGATCCTTTTAGTATATATTATATATATATACACTTAAAATACA